TATCTATCTATCTATCTATCTATCTATCTATCTATCTATCTATCTATCTATCTATCTATCTATCTATCTATCTATCTATCTGTCTATATATCTATGTGTGTGCATGTTTGTTTGTTTTACTAATTTTTTCTAATTTATTCTCATATTATTTGATTTTTTTGCATTTCCGGCATCTCGTGAGAACCTCTGGCTGCCACCGGAAGTGCCATTTGTACTTGCTACTGCCCCGAATTAAGCTCCGCCCTGCCGAAATCTTTCCGCTTTTACAAATACTGGTTGAATTGAGCTGGAAATGGATGAACTGGGAATTACATTTTGAACTCCTTGGTGTTAGTATGTTGTCATTATGATATTGTAACTGCCAGCTTTGTTCGGCATTGTAACTGCTGTCGGCAGTTGCGAGCTTGACTGAGCGAACTTTTGAGAAAGTTAGCTCTGTTCTGAAAAAGGTAATTACATCAACCCATTTAGCATTAAATGGTAATACTTGTTATGGTGGATTTTTTTTCAAGAACTACGCGAATATTAAGGTAGTATGACAGCTTATTTCTCTGACTAGTTTAAACTTTTATAAGTTGAAGAAAGCGAAGTGGACATAGTTTTCACGTATTCGTAGAACCTGTAACTTTTTAGTTAGCCATAAAAACAAGTATGTTCTTTTTTCAATACATGAGCTATGAAAGTTATGACAAATACTTTTGAGAGTTACTGTACTATTGTTATTGTAAATCAACGAGAAATCATTCTAGCTGTTAGTTTGAACATCTTTTTTTTTAAATATACATATAAGTTTGTATTTTTTCTAAATTACTGGCTCCTCTTCTCTGTCTAGAAATGATTAATATCTTTCCATCTGAACAGCATGGCGTCTAGCAGCATTGGTGGTGAATATCTGTCCCCGGAGAAGACCGTGACTTCACTGCTTTCCAGCTCAGGTCACTTAAGGAGCAGCCTGCAGACCCCTGACCACGACTTCTCCTTCAGATTCAGAGAAAAGGTTTGCATGTAGAGCCAACGGTCTCACAGCAACGATGAAGCTTCCTCTTCTGCTTCTTCACAGTTGTAGAGTTCATTTTGGAAGCTTAGCATCCAAACAGTGATTGTCTAATTTTAAAAACCTTTTAGAGATTCAGTCCCCTTGTTGACATTTTCAGTTCCGTCTGAGGTTTTCCTATAAATAAATTGTCATAATAATGTCATAATCGGAGTTTCATTATTCGGTTTGATTACATTTCTGACTTGCCATATGACACGCATATCAAACTGTTCATTATGATCATGTGAATTCGGCTAACAAGCTTTCTAATGCTGGTGAAGGATGTGCAAAAATGCGCCGCAACATTTTTGTGTGTTGATGTGTTCACTGTAGGTCTATGATTCGGCCTCGGCTGCACTCGATGCCTACATTGCAGACTTTGAGAGGAGTTGTCAGAAGAGCAAGAGGTTAACAGGATCAATGGTTTTGCCACCTAACCAAGCAACTACAAGCAAACCGAGGGTGGGGATGCTAAGGAACAGAGATGGTAGGATGTTACCAATATCCGTTGAAAAGTTATTAACAGAAATTATGGCTAATCACAGGTACTAAATTACCATTATGACCATTCAAAGATGAAGAACCATGCACTCAATTTTACACACATTTAGAGTCTTTTGTTAATTTGACATCGATGTTATTTAAAAAAACATCCATTTATCATATATGAACATACAGCATAGATTCCCAGATCCCAGAAAGTGTTGGTATTTGTCAGATTGAGCAAACTTTGATGGAGTTAGGATGATAAAACTCCAGATATATAAACATAGTGCCAGCACTATATAGCCCCTGTAAGTCAAGTTTCGCTGTATTGCTAACATACCATGGTACTGCCACCACCATGTTGGAAAGGCAGGGTGGTTGTGTTCAGTGATGCACAGTTTTTAGTTTTCTGCCCAAAACTGCCCAAAGCATTTTGCATTTAAGCCTGAAAGTTAAATTTTGGTCTGGTCTAACCAGAGCACCCACATGGCTTTTGGCAAACTGTAAACAAGACGTCTTATGGCTTTCTTTTGACGATGGCTTTCTTCTTGTCACTCCTCCTTTAAGTCCAGAATTATAGTTTTACCTTTGCATTATTTTCACATACAGTTTTTTGGAAACTCTGGATTATAAAACTAATTTCAGGACTAAATCCCCTGCCATTAAAAGAGTGGTCGGAGATCTTTGTTGATCCCTGCCGAATGTATCTAAAATGTAAAACGAAACCAATTTCAAACTAAACCGGAAGGCTTTAGGGCATGTATCAAAAACAGAGCCCTGAGTGTCCCCAAATATTTCCGAAACTGCACAACAAAAGTGATGTAAAAACAAATGGACAGAAACAAAGCCTTTGTTTGACCGACATGTCGTTAAAACCAGAAAAGCAATACTTCAACCATCATGAACAAAGTTACGACGAACTAAAGAGGATTGTGATCTTTCAATAATGAGTTTTGGATCTGAAATGGGCAAGAAGTCAATGCTGGAGCTTTATCCCTGTCACTCATGAGATTACATTGCTTTCAGGAAATTGAACAGGGAAGGTAGTCGTCACAGTAAATGCACAGATGGCCCTAAACTAGTTTTCCCATTTTCCAGCCAAAATAATTTTTGATTACTGTTTTTTTTTCTCAGGATATTTAGCCACCTACCCACACAGACCAGAGAGACATTTAAATCACATCAATCTGAAAATAGTCAACAAAAATTTCGGGTATCTCATTGAAAATTTTCATTGGGATTTAAAAAAAAAAAAAGTCTATGAAAACATTCCATGCTGAATATAATCCATTTGCTTCCACACAAAAAAAGTTAATTTTGAAATAAAGGCTATAATTTAGGGAAATTAAGATATCATAAAACCCAGAAGAGCTGACTTTTTTTTAGTCATGTCAGATTTATTTTTAAAATTTTGTTCAACAATTTTTCCTTTTTGTCTCATATTTATTTTAAAAAGCCCCCCTGAATTAGTGGATATGTTTTGCCTGGTGTGTAAATCTACAGTCCATGTTGGTGTTCTATCTGTAAGGTCCTGACTTTTTTATTGTTTGGGTCCATCTTTAGTTCTCAGGGAACGTTTGACAGAGACAGAACTGGACTTCCTATATCTCCCCGTGAGCTCCCTCCATCACCAGGGTAACCGTGACAGGCTCTCCATGACAACAGACGAACTGTTGTCCATCCCTTATGATGGCTCACTGCCCGTCACCCACACCTCTGCCTGTATACACGGTCTGTAACATCACTCACAAACTCTGCTATGAACATTCTCAAATTACAGAATTCAGTCTGGACTCTCTAAGTTTGTGCCCTCCTTCACCCTTCCAGCACACAGAACCTGTTCGGGGCTCAACAGTTGCCACGCTGCCCCCTGCCACATAAACCAACATCACTCTCTACCTGACAAGACATCCAGAAGTTACAGGTTTAAGCTGCTTTTTTTTACAGCTTTTCTCACAGTGTTTAGTCAGCCATCTAACCACAGTCTGACACAAATGCGTTTAAAAATCCCTCAACTACAATTTAATGTATGAACTTTATTTTTTAGCTATTTCGATTTTTTGGTTTAAAATAATAAATTGAGCCATAAAATTGATGCTAATTTGTTATGTGAATATAAAGAGCAAAAGTAAAGTTTAGAATAGGGACGATAGTATTTTGTAAGTATTTTGGAGCCATGTTTTAATTTTTGTGGCTTTTAATGAACTAGTGCCAGGGTTACTATTGTGTTTATTCACTATGGCATTCAGCGGTTTGTCTGTTGAATTCCATAAGTGGATTTCAAAGTAATGTAAATAAATAGATCCTAAAAAATTATATACAAAATATAAATACTTTGTAATTAATTGTTTTTCTTCCATGGAATGATTAATTTACTTTATTCAATAAATCATTAAGAAAACACTGATGTGTAAAAAAAGTACAAATAGTATCTACGGTCATTGAATTATCCAGTATATTATTTAATTGTAGACATTGTCATTTTCCTCCTCAGTGAATAGTAATCTTTAGCTTTGGTTAACTGTAATTGATGTGACTATTTCTTCCTTTTTAGGCGCCAAGGAAGACCAAAGGTGACTATTTTTGAGCCAGCTGTCGACACCCCGTCTGTATGTTGTCTTTTCATTCCGATGTTTCACAGTTTTCATACATGTATAAACCACATTGAGTTTTCATTTGAAAACTTCATCTGCAAGTATGCACACAGGAAAGTGCGGTCGGAGTGGGATGGGCCGTCCTCGCTGCTCCACCTTCCCCACTGGCTAACAAGCAACAAGGCTGAGATAGACTGCTCTGAGATCAGCAGCTTGCCGGACCTGCCATATCCCGCCTGGATCCAGAGCTGTGGCGTTAGCGTCCCACCTCCGCCACAGTCCGAACTCTGGGAAGACCATGGTGTGATATGTCCTACTACCATCATGTCTGACTTTTTTTGGAGCACAGCTTTTTGACATTTTTCCAAGTGAATCAGATCTTTCTGTGTATGCAGCTGTTTTTTCATCTGTTTAACCTGTTTAACATAAGAGTTAAAGTATATTAGGAGTGCATCTAAACACTGACATTTTTATTTTTTGACATTCTGGCATTATTGTCAGCTTTTTAACGTGTTATATTCAGCCTTAAAATGTGCATTTGAAATCATTTCAACCCCTTTCCGATGCTTTTTAAAAATGTTATTACCAATTAGTCAAATATTTAACCAATTGAATAGAACTGTATTAATTCAGAGGGAAATTCATATTGTGACCAAAGTGAACTAGACTTAGACTTAGACTTAGACAGTACTTTATTGATCCCTTGGGAAGACTCCCTCAGGAAATTAAGGTTACCAGCAGCTTAAAGGGCAAAAAGTATTAAGTTAAGTTAAAATCAAATTAAGCAAAAAATATAAATAAAAAAATAAAATAAAAAACTAGTTTAGCTTGTAAACTCTGGAAAAAATGGCATCCAATTGTAGATAAGATAAGATACGGATATCTGCATTAGTCATTTCTGCTTTATTAAAATTATTTTCATTTTTTCAAAAATGTTTTTTACAGTCACCCCAATTATCACAAAACTCACAAATCAAAGCCAGTCTGTCCTGATGTTTTTTTCCCGATGATTATTTTTGTTCTTCTAGTTGCTCAAGTTCCCGGAGCTCCCAAAACTGGAGCTCCGTCCTGGGTTTCTGACCTAATGAAGAACAATGATTTTATACAACCGTCTGCACAGGTGAGGAAGCAGTGCTACACTATCGAGTCAATAAATGACACTCAACTTCCAGCTGTTATTGAGTCTTCCAGACCACAGGTCTGTTTTTTAACGGTTTCTCCTTTTTTTTCTTGGGATGGGGACACATTGTTATGTTCTAGTGCAAAACAAAAACTAAACTTCTCAAAGAGTAGCACGGTTATTTTTTTTCAGTGATGACAAGTTTTAAATCTAATTAGGTTTGTGTAAAAGTTTTAGTGTCATGGTCAAAATGGCTCTGCATGTTTGGATGTTTTAATGAAATAAATGTGTTGTTGATGTTCAGGGAGACAGCCAGCAGACACTCAGAAATCTGAGGCTTCAGTTGGCTGAACACATTTCTCTTCTTGGTGCAAAGAGAGAAAGCTCTGACATTGTAACAAATCTGTTCAAAGGTAGAATAAAGCACGTTTTGGAAATTGAACACTCGGTTTTTTGTAAAACCATTCAGGGGGTCTGTATGTGTTCTCTTCTCTCAGATAACAAGATCGAGTCGCTGATTCAGAAGGCAGATCAGGTGTTAAACTCACTGTCTCAGAGTTCTAAAGGACCAGAAAGTCTTCCAGATCCAGGTGAGTCCAGGTTTCAAGGAAAAACACAACTTGTTGTTGTTTCCTCCCACAGTCATCACTAGCAAAGTAACTGATCATTCTTAGTAGAACCTCCACTTACAATTGCCTAAACACATGAATTTTCCAAAATACGAAGTGAAATGCGATCAAATATGCGACTGGACCCCTGAAATCAATTTCCAACATATGTGGAACTATGACGTCGAAGTCATATAAAAATACATAAATAAGCTACGTTAGTTTACAGTTCACGAAGTGAAAGTTAGAGTAAGTTACGGTACGTCCTGGATCTCAGTCACCGCCTCTACCTCCACACTAACCGTCTCCTGCATCACTAAGCCTACACCTAGTTCACCAATAAGTGCCAATAAAAAAGCCCTTTTATTGATTATTTCTTTATAATTTATTTATTTTTACCTCTCTCTTATATAATGCATTTTTTCTTTGCTATGTGTAATTATCTGCAGTATTTATTATCGTAGTTTTTTGGGCTGTGGAACGAATTATACGAATTACACTATATTCTTATGGGAATATTTGAACACCCATCCATCCATCCATCCATCCATCCATCCATCCATCCATCCATCCATCCATCTACTATATTACATTTTCTAAAGTGAAACATCTGGCTGTTTCAAGAAGAATCCTACCTTATACACAAGTATCCACAAATTTGGGATGTGTTTTTGTTAAAAACCTTGCTCTTGTTATTCCAATTTCTAAACATCAGTGATAACCTCTTGAAAAATGTATAAAAAATGTTTGTGGGTGTGTAGATATACACTTCCTCTAACCAAAATAGGTCACATAGTCACAGTTATTTCAAAAGAAGAGGTAAAGTTTTGTATTGGAACCTACTAGGCCAACATGCATTTGAAGCATTAGTAAGTTTGTTTGGCTGTTATTTATGTATTAAAAGGCCTGAAGTTTAGTATTTGCATTTAGCACATAGCCAAAGTATTTTTTAAATTGTTTTAACAATGCTGCAAATGAGTTCAAGTTATGTCATGTGCATTGAGATTAAACATAAAACATAAATTAATTTCTCTGTACAGTACCAGGAACTTGACAGTGAAGCACAAACTGATTCACTTGTTTTTTTCATTGTCAGCGAGTCCAGTCAACACTGAGGACCTTCTCAACTGTTCACCCCCACATTGTCCTCCACTCTCTCCGTAAGACTCTTTACACACCAGTTTTTTTAGTTTTGCACACTTGTAAATTCAAAATGTCACTGAAATAGTTGTGTGAAACGTTACACCTGTAGGGACTCAGCAGCAGGAGAATCCACAGAGGCTTTGACTCAGAAAGAAAAGCAGGTAAGTGTTCTGTCGATCCCCTTTTACTCTTCAGTTTTTTTTACCTGGACATTCAGTTGGACAACCATCCTTAAGACACTGGAGGTGCAAATGTTATTCTTAGAAACTATTTTTGTAGGATAAAGAAAAAAATATTCCTTTTTTTAGTCCCGCTAGGGAAAATTCACAGCGGCAGGTGAGAAATTGATTTAAGCTTTTGTGATTTGGAAATATAGATCAAAGCTCAGCTCTCATCTGTTGTCACTCCTAGGTTTGGGACCATGGTCCCCACGGAAACGGCATCTGGAAGCAGCCTGGACCGGTGGAGGCTCTGAAACAGATGCTGTTCAAGCTGCAGGCCGTGGAGGGGGAGCTTCAAAGGAAACAGGGGGAACCACCAGTTAACGGCAGTCTGCAGACACCAGTGAAACCGGTTGAAGAAATGCATTGACGCACACATCCTGGCTTCAGATCTCTCAACTTGCATTCATTCCTATATCATTTTGATTTTGACTCAAACAATAACATTTAGACAAACTAAATCGTTGTTTGCTCTGAAATGCATCAATCACCATATCGAAAAGCATAACAAACAGCAGCATATAAAAGTCACATATTAATAGGACACTAAGGTAATAATGAATAGAAGAATGACTCAGACATTAGTATCACATCCTGGACAATAACTCAATTGATTTGGTTTAAAAAGCTTCTTTAGTTTAATAGTTATTGCACAGTGATGGCGATTGAGACTAAACTAAACTGGGTATTGTTTGTATCTTTATCTGCAGTATTTGGTTGTTTTATATTATAATTCTATGTGTATTTCCATAGGATGGTTACTCAACAGGCTTTTGTTTGTCAGTGTTTTCAAAAATGGAAAATGTTATACAGTTCAAAGACTTATAAAAAAAAAAAAAGTCAGTATAAACAAACAGTAAAGCAAGAAGTTACATATTTAGATGGTAAAAGATTATTAATTTAATATAGGTACAACATATTTAATCAGTGTTTAGTGATGCTAATGCTACAAGCTGTACCAACATGTGTATAGCTAGTGTATTTTTTTGTGTATTTGTCCAGCTAAAACAGAGTTGAGAGTTCTGTTTGCTGAACTCAGAGCGTTACAGCACCTGAACCGTCAGAAGCTGAAGAAGACTATCTCGTGTCAGTCTGGAAACTTAAGTTGGAATGTGGTCTTATCTTAATGAGTGGTTACATTAGTGGGAAAGACTATGGAATGTGGAATGTGGACACAGCTATCCCGATGGTTAAAATATAACGCATCCAGCACCTTTCAGTCTAATCTGAAAGCTATGAAAAGGCCAAAGCCCATCTCTTTTGATTATTAGGCATATTTATCTACATTTTGATGTTCTCAAAATGTCACATGAACATGAAGGTTTGAGAATTGTGAATGTTACACTCAAATGAGCAGAAAAAAGGTGTCCGGTAGAGGATTTTTATGAATGTATCAATGTAGAGGGCCATTTTTTGACAGCTTTTGTTATGTAGCACAAAAACTGTAGTCAGGTATTGATTCTTATAAGCTAACATTAGCTTGTTAGCACAAGTTAACCGTGTCAAACTTAGCATAGCTTTGCACTGTACTCGCATGAAGTTTAACAAGCATCCATTGTTCTCTGCATCAGAAAAAGTGACTCAGAAGTCAAAGTGGGCAGAAAAATAAATGATGGATGAGTGTGCAAAGTTGTACTGTCATTTACACTACTCACAATATTGTGAGAGACTCGGTTGATTCCATTACAGTGTTTATTTTACTTCAAAGATTTTTTGGATTGGCAGGCAATTGTATTGGGGTGATAGACACCCCTTATTTTGTGTTTTCCACATAATGGTTCTACTTTATGCGGTGTGCCTTACATATTGGGGCCAACACCCAAAAACTAAAAGACCAACCTTTTCAATTTTGGAAAGATTTCAACGTTCTGTTGCCATGAAATGTATGTATTATCAATAAATCATTCCAACTTCTATCCATCCATTTTCTGAACTGCTTATTCCCAAATGGGGTTTTCAATGGGCGAGAGGCGGGGTACACCCTGGACGGTCTGCCAGTCCATCACAGGTCCACAAATCTAGACACACAGAGACAAACAACCACGCGCACTCGCTCTTAATGGCAATTTGGAATGTCCAATCAACCTAACATGCAGGTTTTTGGATGGTTATATAATTCAAAAATTGGAAGCACCCCTTCAAGAAAAGAAGCTTTATCACTTTGCTCGTCTGGAGTATTCAGGTGTGTGTTAACTCAATGCCAAGAAGCAAGAAAGACATCATAAAAGCACATCAAAAACAGTGATTTAAGCTAACAAAGCTTAAGTGATATAATTGATTTCCTGTGAAGGTCTCGTGCAGTGTGAAACTGAAACTAAGCAGCTTTGGTCTAATCTACTAAAATTTGTCCCCTCTTGTAAATTCAACTGCAGAGTTCTGAACTGAGTGTTCCTTTCTCTCCATTCAGTGGCAGAGCCCACGGCATCCTACAGTCAGAAACCAATATCTTTTCACGTGGATGGAGGTTGATTGGCCACGCACATGCTCCGATGGAGGAAGACATCCTAAAGGAACTGGATTTTTCGACTTTCCCCAGGTTTTTTCGGGGCCTGCTGAGGTCTCACCAGCCCACCGACGACAGGAAACTCATTTGGCTGTTGGCTTTTGTTGTTCTTTGCTGGTGACTTTTCAGCCCTTTTGCCTTTGAAGATGTTTTCCTTCTTCTCCTTGTTTTTTCCCTTGCTCCTTCCTTGGTCCGTGGCGCTCTGGACGTAGCCCTTTTGTAAACCGATGAGCACTTTCTGCCTCAGAGCTGTTTGGTATTTGTCTTCCAGTTGCCTGAGCAAAGGCTCGTACGACCTCAGGTGTTCCCTCATCTGCTTCCAGTCATCCACCAGCTTGTTTTTCTGGTCGGCGACCCGTCGATACTGCAACTGGTGGAAGTCCCTCTCCCTCTGCGTCCGCACCAGGCTCTCCGCCGCCGCCCGCACCTCCTGCCTGCTCACGTCCATCTCTCTGTGAACTGAGTCCAGCTCGCACTGGAGGAGCTTCATGTGTGTGAAAGCATCAGGGATAAAGACCACGCCGGGGTCTGTTGTCCCTACAGGTGACAGGGGGTCCGTCGGGGGTCTCTGAGCTGAGCCGTACCATTCCGCTTCGAAGCTTCTCAGAGTTCGATTCAGGCCCAGTCTGCGGAGGAAGTTCCTCAGGAAGTCGTCAACTACCTCTGGGATATGGAGCATGTTTTGCTGTTTGGGTGGTTCAAGTCTTCTCAGAGTGGAGGACGCAGCCTCTGGCACGACTTCCTCAAAATCCTCTTCTTCAGCGTTTCTCTTTTCCTCGCCATTTTCACTTCCTGAGAAATCCTCCCCCCTCCTCTCTTCTCCTGTTTCTGACATTTTCTCTAAACTGCCTCTTGCCAGTTGTCCTGAGCCTTTTGTGTACATGTTTCTATGGCAACAGTTCCTGAGTTGTTTGGTCAGTTACCAAAGCAACCAGTTGACATATCTAAAATGTTTCTATAGCATCGTTTTAATCTGTAATACTGATACTTTTACACATTATTCTTTTATATTTGTTGTCAATCACAAAGTTGCTTTTTAGACCTGTATTCATTTAATCAAGTTGGGGGAGCGGTAACAATTTAAATACAACTTTGGTATTTTCTGCCAAATCCATCATGTTCTTCTTTAGACTTGTAAAATCTAATTAATTTTTTTCAAATATTAGTTTCTTCTGCATCTGTTTTTGTAATGTTTCTCCTTCCAGTTTTTTTTTCCAGCAGGAAGAAATTTTAAAATAATTTTGAACTAGTGTATTGACAATTTGATTGAAAACACTTTATAACCTATAAATGAAAATGTATAATTTAATTTGTATAAATGATGCTTCTGCAGTATTAACAATTGTTCAACAATAAAGATGTGCCCTAGCAGATACAAATATAGTAACATGTAGAAAATTTAGGAAGGAGGAATAAGTGGTAGATACTTTAGAGGTCCCCATTATTGTTTTAAATGCTGTTTGTTTGTTTTTTCATCAATGTTGCTTATGAGTGCACATCCAACACCAGCAGTTAACACAGATTGCCCTGCTCAGTGGTCAGTATGGACATGAACTCACTGCCATCTGGAGGCTATCTGCCTCCAGGGCCATGGCATTTCAAAAGAATTTAAAACAGAACATCAGCTAATGTAATTCAACTTTGGATGGTTAAACAGTCAGGGAAGAAAAAAATAACATATGGGGTGAAGAGTGAATTATTCGAAATAAATTGAAAACGTGCCATTTCAAACTGTAGACTAAAGAATAACGGAGACCGATGACGCTCCACGTTCAAAAGGGAAGCGACGTGCTTACGTCACGTGAGCTCGTCACATGACTATCAGCAGGAAAAGACAACAGGAAGAGTGTTTTGTCTTTGTTACAGATATATTGGTCACGTTTAAAATATAACAGAGGCACTTGTTTTTGCTCTGTGAGCTGCTTGACTCTAAAATAAACTTACATTACTCTTTCCATGCTCTGGACTTTGTTTCTCGGCTGTTTTTGGATCCTAAAAGACCCGAATTTAACTGGCAATTGGTCTTAATCCTCACTGAGGTAAGTGGGTATGAAACTACAAAATGTGACATGATTATTGTGGCTGGCTAAGTGGTAACGACAGGTTGTTTAACCAACTTATAGTCAGATGATAAAAATATTATCAGACGAGATGTCAATTATAATGAATCTGGAAAATACCAACTTATCGAAGTTACGCTTCCGGTTAAATTTAGTGAACTTTGATTGGTTTTACATGTTTGTAGTGTTGTTCCTATGAGTCCATTTACTTAGTTACACATGCGTTCAATTTTCCAAGAATATGCAATGGTGAATTTTGGCTTGAAGAAACCAAAAGAGTTTATTTAAAAAAAAATTGGGGACCATTTGAGACCAGGTAAAGAGACAAACAGCATCATAGTGTGTGACTGTACTTTACACTGCATTGTGCTGTGCTTTGCAGGGTTGCAGGTCATGGGGTCTGCGGTGGAAAGGACAGATGAGCATGTCAGGGAGTACCTGATCTACCGGGGCTTCACCAACACCCTGAAACACCTGGACAGTGAAATCAAAGCTGACAAGGAAAAGGGCTTCAGGGTATAGCTGATTGTAATACGGACAGATACAGATATACAGAGTTTAAAAGTGTTAGACCACTTGCTAGAAAAACAATGCCTATTTTTTTCTTAAACAGTTATTTAATCGGCAAATATTTAACAGAAACAACTAAACAGTCCCTCTTTCCCACACAGACAATAACCTAAAAGCTTGTATTATATGGCCCCCTTTGGTCTTGATGGCAGCTTACGTTCTTACTTTTGTTGTTTTTAATCTATTTATGACAGTTTCTCTTGTTAATAAGTTCAACATAGTTTATCACTGTTCTCACACACTTGGTTAAAGAAACCCCACAACTTTTCCCACAGTCCCACAAGAACTTTTACTTGGTTGGTGGTCTAATTCATTTTAAGCGCTATAAGTTTTATCTGAAACATTTGTTTAAATGTTTTCCTTGTATAGCTTGTATAGGTCTTCAAAAAAACTCTTGAAGACCCATCTCATCAGAGAACATCTCTTACTATGATAGCCTGTACCCTGCACCTTCCCACCCCCTTTACTGCTTGTTCTCTTTCTGTACTTCCTTTTATTTATACACTGTCACCACTGTTGTCTCTAACAGACTCTAACAGTCTGAGGTGTGATTTCCTTCTTCTTGGATTATTGTTAGCTTCGATGTTAATGTTTTATCTGCGTTGTAGGTGGTTTTGGATAAAATCATCAGCCAAATGCATATACTTAAACACAAACATAGCACGGTATCCTAAAGCTACGGAAACCTGGAAGACAGCAATGGCTCAGGGATGCGTTTGTATCTGCAGGTGGACAAGATCATTGACCAGCTGCAGCAGTTTGTTCAAAGCTTCGACCTGTTTGGCCTGAAAGAGTACTGGCTGTACCTGGACCGACGTCTGTTCTGCAGACTGGAGGATGTTTACAGATCCACCATCAACAAACTGAGAACCAGCCTGTTTAGATACTACGTCATTAACACCATCCAGGTAATCGAAGACCCGATGTCCTACGTTTCTGATTCGCAGCGCCGTTTAAAAGTCTGGCTTTTGCACTCTGACTTTACATTCTGCCAATCCTCCAGAAAGGAAACTTGGAAAAGACTCAGGAGTTCTTCCAGAAGCAGGCAGCGGAACTGCAGGGTCAGGCTGAATGGCGCGACTGGTTCATCTTGCCGTTCATCCCTGCCCCTGAGCAGAGCCCTGCCTTCTCTCCATACTTCTCCCGCCAGTGGTCCGACACCTTCCTGGTTTCACTGCACAACTTCATGTCAGTCCTCTTCCAGTGTATGCATATCCTTCAGCTGAATTCACGGCGTTAAACTTCAAATTTTCTCATTTGTGGCCTGAGAGTCAACCATGTAGTACCTCTGTGTTCCTGCATTCATCCAAAGCAGATCGTTTAAACATTACCCATTTAATGCTGTTAATCCCTTAACTGATCTCCACCTCAGCCTGTCCTTCTGAGCTTTGATGCTGAAGTCCAGAAGATGACCGGCCTGAATGAAGAAAACGAGCAGCTCCGTCAGCTGGTAAGACTAAAAGCATTTAATCATTGATCGACATCGATGGGATTTTATTTGTTCAAAAAGGTCTTTTCACCATTTCTCTCTGTATTATTTTTCAAAAAGTCTTGGAGTTTGGTTTAAAAGTTGTTTTACTGTGTTTACAAAAGCTTCATCTGTTATTCTAAAGCTAGTCTTATTACCTTATTTAAAGGTATATTGCTGCTTGGCTTTAATAAAAGAAAGGAATATGATAATAAAAAGAGAAATCAAAGAATGTGATAAAGACGGTCCACCATTTGGTTACATTCCTTGTTTTAACAGCATTCAAAGGTAATGATGTAAATATCTAAAAGGTTTTATTTTTTTAAATTCTGTTGTTGCCAGCTGATTTTAGTATGTATGCCTTTGTCTCTTCCAGCTGTTCGCCCTGCAGATGGAGGGCCGGGAACAGAGGGACGGAGATGAGATGGTCCTCCACAAGCTGCCGCCTTACGTCCAGAACATGGACCGACTTGGAGACACAGAGCTGTGAGCCACTAACATCTTTGTCTTTACTCCTGACTGACTACAACAAAAAATGGCTGCCAGTTCGAAATGTTCTCCATGTTGGTTTAAACCACTGAAATGCTGTAAAACAGTTATACAGGTTAAAAGCACGTTAATATCTTAGTATCCAATACTTAATACTATCTATCTATCTATCTATCTATCTATCTATCTATCTATCTATCTA